ACCATTTTTGCATTAACAGTTCCAATAGGTACATGAATATATTTAATTTGAATTTCTAACATAACAATCGCATACCACGAGAAAATTATGGAGGTATCTAAATATTATTTATTAAWGCAGACTTCTGTGTGTTCCTAAATACATTACGGTCGTACTTTATTATTGTTTGCCGGACCTTTAAGGTTCCGGCGATTCAGCGTAAAAATAGCAAAATTGTGTTATCTTCGTAACAATCGTTATTATTTTGAAATACTATTAAGTTGCATATTTTGTTATTTCTTTCAAACGCATAGTTATAATAACGATGATCTCATCGAACTAAAGTAATATTTTTTGTTATCGACACAATATTAGGTGTACGATAATGAGTAGTCGTATTGGTTGGGCGCCAGTTCACATTGAACACAATTTTAGTTTAAATAATAAAATGTTTATTTATTTTGGCAAAAGTTAGAGTTAGTACATTTAATTAATACATCATTGATAGAGTTTATAATACAATATAAATTATTAAAATATMTTCTATAGACAGTATATCATATGAAATATACTGTAATATGACTATAATATAAATACGCGGTTTAATTATACAATAYGAATCAGTCCCATTCACAATTAATARTGGAAGTACTTACTACAGTGTTGCCATGATAACGCATTTCTTAGCCTTTTCCTTAGCGGCTCGATGGGCATGAATAATAGCATAATATGTTATCGCGGCAAGTTCACCTGGACCTGGTGAAAATTCGTGAAATAGTTGTTTGATGGTAACAGACAGCAACAGTACGTTCAAGTTCGACAGCGGCAATACTAATAAACCTTGATCAATTTCGGTAGACGGCTTCGGCGCGTTCGGATTCGACGGCGGCGGTACTAGCGAATGATAAGTAAGGTTTATTCGCGTCTCGGCAGACTGCAACGGCGCGTTCGGATTCGACGGCGGCAGTACTGGCACGAAAAGTAAATTTTATTAATGTCGCGAACTAAGAACCTACTATTAGCCTTGGCCCGGCAGAGTAGATACGAGCTCCACTAACCGACCTATTAAAACAGGTGGCAAAGCTAAGCCCACTACTAACCAGACAGCCACTACTAATTTCGGATCTGGTGACGGAGTGTAGTCTTGGTCTTGCACTCTTGCTGCTTTGCTTTGCTTTGGGGGGGATGGCTATGCCGTTAACTATACCAGGCTTTCGTCTCTACTAGTGGGGGGTGAGTATTAAGGAAGTTTTTAATGGTAAGTCCAAGTTAACGGGTAAGGTTTAAGTTGTTTTTTGGTAGTTGGGGGGAGTGAGATTTACCTAGAAGGYGGATATGATCATGGTCTGAAAAAGGATTTTTGAAGAACATAAGTTTGGACTGGGACTGAATGGATTTAAAGTTAGCAGATTTGAGAAGAACCGAATTTTTGACAATAGAGGGCATGCCCGTTATTGTTCGTATACCTGTGTTTTGGACGGATTCGATACGCCTCCATAGTGAAGGACCGATGGAAGGGGCCCACGAAGGGCCAGCGTAAGTAAGAACGGGAGATACGTATAGTTTAAGAATTTTGAGTCTGGTAGAAAGTGGGAGCACTCTTGCTGCTGGGTCTGTTATATCTTATATGCACATATGCACCACCGCGTCTGAGGTACCGACGGGTGTGCAGGCCATATATTCTAATGGTAATCATAGTACATGATAGTACCGGCGGTCCATGAGCGCACTMTATTGTTGACAATAGTCGACATCTCCAGCTACTTGCTGTGGAGTATCGGCTATAGTCAGAATTCCGTATTCGTAACATAGTGCCGTGGAGTACCGGCTATAGTCAGAATTCTGTGTTCGTTACATTTTATTTTCACAAACTTAAARAACTACTAAATGTATCTTAATAGTTTGTAAGTAATTTAACAGATTATTGGGAGGTTATTTGTCTTATTGTTAAATTTGCGTATAAATAATAATTTATTTAAAAATTTACGTAAAGAGACTTGTTATAATATATTA